CGAGATGCCGTCGGGATCGCGAAGTACTCGAGGTGCGCCAGCCATTTGACGACCTTTTGAAAGCGCATGTATACTGTAAATCGAAGCAACCCCTTGTTCTGTTCTCTATGAGTGACTCCTTTTTCCCAGTATCCACCTAGTATTGACCCTGATTCCCTGATGCAATTTCAGTGGTCTCGCTGTGTCGGCATTGTATCCATCTTAATTTGTTGACCTTCTAGAAAACCTACTTACACTTTGGCAATGTTTATTCTACGTTCTACGCAGTTTGATTCTACGCTCTTTTCAGTTCATTGGTGATGTCGAACGCCACATGTGTGTTAATGTCGTTTCACAAATGTTACTCTTGAATCTACTCAGTCCTTTGCTGGCATCCGACACAAGAATAGTTTTCCTGAGCTCATCAACTGCAAAAATTGCTCACTATACCAGCTCGGTATTGCAAGGAGGTAATTCATTTTAGCAGCGGAACTTCACTTTTGTCATGAAGTGCGGCTTGGTGTAGGTATTTCGCTGGTTCTTATCGATCGCTGATGCTTCTTGCGAAGGCCCGCTAACTCTTCTAAAACTGTTCAGGGCAAGAGCTCATTAATTCACATGTGTTCCCGCTGTTCGACTTATGAGTAATGGGAGGGGAAGTTTCCTTGTTCGCTTGTCTTTTACTAGTTCTGTTAGCTTACACGTCTCACGTTGTTGAGACCTGTAGATTCTTGTCAACTGTAAACGAAGTTGGTGCTCTCGGACCAGCTTCACAAGAGTATACAGGTATCCACATGAGGCGTCGACAATGATCGATTGGAACCAGCAAAATGCCCCCGCCAAGCCGAACTGCACCCTTAATTTGTCCTATATAACAGTCATTTATAGATCTCCTGTCGTACTACGTGGGGCCATACCAAGCATACTGCTTTTCGAAACTTGTACTCTCAGTATTTGTCGAACAGCTGTCTCAGCACAGGTTTGTTAACTGTTGTCTATTACAGTTCTTGCGTAGGATTACCGGTAGGTGTGCAAAACTGCTTTCAGTTCACAATGTGTTGTAACTATGCATCCAGGTGTTATACCAGGAACTCTTTATCGTCACACCAATTTCTTCGTGAAATTTGTGACGTATTTCATCCTGCCCTTCCTACTCAGGTATTAATCCATCATTTTATTCTTTATTAGACTTGACGGTTGGTTTGCATTATGGATGATGAATACCGATAAAGTAGATTTTTTTTGTTTTGAGAGGGGGAGTGGGAAGACTGACATGTTTTGTGGATGGCTACCAGAGGCTTCTTTTGTATTTTGATTGAAAAGTATGGTTTCTAAACGAAATTACTTTCTTTTTTGGTTCAGCATGTGTGATGTGGGGAGGGTAACGAATCTCGTCTAAGAATTACACGAGCAAGTGTTCGCGATTTCTACACCGTATTGAGATAAGGTTAACTGACATTTTCCAGGAGACCGGCGTTCAGTGCTCTACTCGTATTTCACACAGCCTTACGTGATGACCTTGTTTCTGGGTCATATTACGAAGACGGTGTAGCGAAAAAGCTGGGCGACAGGCTGACTGAGAAGGTAGGTCTTATAGGTTAAAACAGTCTCACGGTCGGTTTGGAGCTTTCTCAGCATCGTTCTGTGCCGATGTTCTCTCTACACCTATCTTGAAACGAAATGACTTGTAGAAAATGCACGCTGGGTATGATGTTTGCCATAAATCTCCACATAAATACGACATCCCTGAAGGAAAGAAATGCATGTTATGGAAGTCTCGCAGCGAAAGAATTTAGCGCACGAATAACATCCAAGGGGCTGCGTCTACGCGCTCACCAGCCATGTATGGTGGTTGCCAGATTCGTAGCGATTAAGTCGGTTCTGGCGCGACGGCTGCCTTAGGTAGCTATGGTCAGCTGTCCTCAAGGGCGTGGAGAGGGGGATAATGCCAGACGCTGGCGTCCGCAAGAGTGATATCTATACATTCCTAAACGCTGGCACGAGCGTTATCTAGGCTCGCGAAAAACGCCAGGTGGGATGCCCGATTGACAATATAGTATATTAGGTTGTCCGGAAAGTTCTCAGCGTTTTGTGCACCTAAATTTTGTACATTCACTGCTGATTAAAACTCATTCTGCCTTACTTCTCAGTAGCATATCTGGAATTTCTCGCGCTATCTGATGGTATAATTGCCGTTTCACCATTGCTTTATAAACCCCCTTTTTTCAGGATTTTTTCAAGCATGTGAAAGAGCACTTCGGACGATTTTCTTCGCTGCTAAATTGGGCAATCCGCAATCGAAACAGCTCAACAAATTAACCAGGTGTGGGGCCCAATAGTGCTAGAGAAAGCACTGTGCGGCAATGGCTCAACAAATTTCGTTCTGGAGATTTCAGCCTTGAAGATGAACCTCATAGCGGTCGACCTAAAGCAATATCTGACGAGGATTTTAGGGGGATTTTGGAGGCTGACCCATCCCAAACAGTTCGAGATAGCAGAAGAGCTAGGCCTTGGCAAATCCACTGTTGCAGATGGTCTGGAACGCATTGGGAAGGTGAAAAAACTCGACAATTGGGTGCCCCACAATCGGAGTGACCGGCAGGAATCGGCACGTCTCGAGGTTCCTTCTTCACTGCTTTTGCGCAACAGAAACGACCTGTTTTTGGACCGAATTGTCACCTGTGATGAAAAATGGGTCATGTATGATAACAGGAGACGTTCCGGACAGTGGTTTGGATTTCGACGAACCACCGAGGTAATTTTCAAAGCCGAACCCTCACGAAAAAAGATTCTGGTCACGGCTTGGTGGTCATCGGCTGGTGTGATCCACTATAACTTTTTATCACCAGGCCAAACCATCACAGCAGAACCCTACTGTGAAGAAATCGACGAATTGTACCGAAAATTTTTGTCAGATGCAGCCAACACTTATCAAAAGAAAGGGTCCGATTCCTTTGCATGACAACGCCCGCCCACACGTTTCACAAATCACTATCCATAAATTGAACGAATTGGGGGTTGAAGTTCTACCTCAACCGCCATATTCTCCAGACCTTCCACCAACCGAATATTCCCTTTTCAAACATTTTCAGAACTTCCTTGCTGGGAAATACTTCATCAAACAGGACCAGGCAAAAAAGCCTTCGTGGATTTCGTGAATTTTTGACCACCCAGTTTTTATTTTGATGGGATTTCTCGACTGCTGTCACATTGGCAAAAGTGTGCTGATTCGAATGGTGCCTATTTCGATTAAATCCGATGAGTATTAAAAAAGTTACGATCGTTTAAAGTGAAACACCCAAAACGCTGAGAACTTTCCGGACAACCTAATACTTGTTTCGAGTTATGGTAAGATGATACCTATTCAGGACAAGCAATCAATCTACAAGGCCATTCAGAGACAAGTCCAGGAATGGTCACGACTAGAAGACTAGGATATTGTACCAGATTTCATAGTTTGTCGTTGTGTTATTAACTGTTGCGGTTTCACTGTGATGTTTACGTGAGGGTATTTTGAAAAATATATGTTTTTATCGTAGTGGAGCAGATCATGATTACATTGCGGGCCCAGATTTGATTTCTATGTTGCTTTCTGAAGAAAATTATCGGCGGAAACGTCGGTCAGGCTCATCTAAAATTAGGGAGGGTGGCGAAAATTACAAACAGTGAAAAGTTGCTACTGGGTCCTCCAACACACGCCGATGTGCTCTTGGTACGTTACGATGTAGCTGAAGGAAGTTCTTGTCTTCTACCTCACGTTTGCATCATTTGTGAAGCCACCATCGATTTGACACTTGCCGCGTTTGCTAAATTAATGCATAATTAATTAGTTCCTTCCGAGTTATGAGATTTTTCAGTTTTTCGCTTTGTCAGGCCTTTCGTAGTACATTTGGGATTTTTTTAACTTGAGTACACTGTAGTTCGCTGCGGACGGTTGGGCGTGTTGGGCAGTATGAGTGTTCACACCGTCGACGCCGTTCTGTACCTTCTTGTTGAAACGCGCATGTGACAGAAAGTGGTAGAGGACGAGTAATACGGAGGATATGATAGACAATTGTCACTTACTCGCTTCAACAACTGGTGGGGGAGCGAGTTTGGCACCGCGCCAAACGCAGCCGTACTGACAGCCCAACCGTCCGCAGCGAAGTCCACTGTACTTGGTGATATGGGGCTTCAGCCCGCCAGTACTTGGTTATATGGGGCTTCAGATAGTCTTACAGCTGCCGTTTTGCTGTTCGAGACAGAGAATGTGCCGTCAAATGATTTTACACGCGAGTCGCAGTGCGGAACTTGGAAATTTAGCGACCCACGGACGGGCAGAGCCGTGAGTGCAGTGAGTCGGGAGATCCAAGTTGCGGTAACCAGATCGGCCAGTTCGATGAATTTCATAGCTAGCTGATTTGAATTACTGAGCTACGTCAGCGTTGGGTTCATGTGGGCTCCTGGTGCAGGCGTCTGTGGCCAAGAAAGATCGTCATCACCGCGTTCATGGTCGGCCGCTGCGACGCCATCCCACCCCCCCCCCCCCCTTCCTTCCTCGGAATGATGTTATTTTCAGGTCATAGGTAGCTACAATAGGGAATGTGTAGCCAAAAGTAGCCACAAATGTCTACGGTGAGTCTAGAGTACATCAAATCTGGAGCTCACTCGACATGCTAATGCTAAGTATGAAAACGCCGCGAGCGACGGAGCGACAATTTCGAGTGTCTTTGACCGCCTTACGCCGCTGCCAATGAGTTTCTATGCCGCCGTACCTTGAACCTCTTAGCGTACGAAACCCTTGTGTGACCCTTGGCCCTCTACCGTGCCAATGACGCTTTATCGCCTACCTTGAACCTCTTAGTCCATGCCTGCTGATGACGAGCAGAAATCATCAGGCTGCCGATGAATCATATCTCTTTGATGCGTTTTCGCTAGCTGATGTGACACAATGACTGCATCACAGATCATTTTTCCCGTATTGGGCCTTCACATTAGCTATAAATATCCCGATGGTATGATCAAGTGTAACAAAGGGGTCGCGAAAATCTACCAACGCCCATGAACGAGTGAAATGATTCCGACATTGGGCGGCATTACTGCCAAATTTTTCACTGTGTGAAAGAGAGCCCATTGCCCGGAAAGCGTTAAGTGTAGGCCCAACCCACCTGGTGTCAAAGCTTTTGCTCTCACAGCTTTCATGGATAGTAAACCATAAAAGCTCATGTGACGGGGTGAACAGATTTTCTAGGCATTTATTCGGGTTTCTTTCTAGGTAGATGTGGTGGTGCAGTAACAAGTGGCCTCTTACAGCGCGGCGCGGTGGTCATCTCGAATCGGCTCTCGCCTGGGAAAACAAAGCCTCATAATCCTGCCTGGAATGGTGTGTTGGTACAAAGTTTGCGTGAGAGGATAGGAACACTGAATTATAAATTGGTGCGCCCGTAATTCATGGTGTGGCCTCATCCCATTCAGTGAATCACTACGATTCTGAACGGAAGTGCAGTGGATGCCGCATCCCGAAAAGAGATCGACTAAAGGGAAAGACTCTACCCTTCCTATTTCGTACACTCCTCAAAACCGTCAGTCCAACGTGCCAGTATAAATACTGAGAGGGGTAAGGATGAAGGGAACTGGGGCAAAAGACAGATCATGAACCAAGTGACTAGCGAGGGGTATCTGAACAATGATGCGGCAGTCGTCATCCATAAGCACGGCGAAATCTTCCAGAAGATGCCCGTGGGTGGTCAACCGTGTGATTTGGGGCTCTTGGGGTAAGCACGATTACTGTAAGCTTTCTTGAGTTTCGCAGGTGATGGATGGGCTCACATGTCCATGACGACTGAAGCACTGAACGAGAGCTTGCTTCTGCTTTTAGAGGAACTTGTAAGGAATATTTCATCTTGGATCTATCCTGTGCTTTACCGTTTTGTGGGACGCGAACTCCTGCTCGTTCCCCTCTCTGTACAGGGAAAGGCGAATTCAGACGTTCATAAAAGAGTACTTCTTATGAGCTGTTACCTGAGGATGTTTTCAAAACTTGTCAAAAGCGCGCTGATCTCAACTAATCTAATTTTTACAGAAGGCATACTGTAATTTATCACAGCCTTTCTATGACATCACTCACCTGTAAAGAAAGTAACCAGCACAAAAACAATAAGTAATCGGAACAATCGTAGCATGATAGTGTTTTGATTGTAGTGTAATCGCGGCCTTTTCAAGCGCTCGAGTAGCTATTTCGGTATGGGCGGAAACGATGTCGACGTCATGCGACCACAGCGATCAGGATCGTTTCGAGAATGAAATGAAGTACGGCGAAAATCCACGCAGAAAGGAACGTCGACCAGTCCAAGGTTCATCGCTCAACGAACCCAGATTGAATATCATCGGAGAACTGTTGACAGTTCGCACCTGTAGTAGGAGGATTACTGCTAACTTTCATTAGCACATTAGTTCAAGATACAGTTAATTAGTTAAGGGTAGTTTTATGCATATGT